CTCACCCCCAACACCCCCAGGTCCTTCTCCTGCTCTCCTGGGCTGACTCTGGGGGTTGTCCCAACCCAAGGGCAGGACCTTGTCCTTGTTGCACCTCCTCCAGAAGCAGACACACAGCCTCAGAGCCCAGGACCCCCCCCAGCTAACACAGGGAGAGGCCAAATGCTGCCATACTCACGTGGGATCCTGCTCAGCCAGCCCCCCAGGAAGCCTGGCCGAGCTGTGGTGGCCACGGGGCTACTGGTGAGTGGGGTGGCCATAGTGACCCCCTTCCTGGCTGCCCCCACCATGGCTACGTCGGGGTGACCTGGGGATGCAAGCAGGAGGGTGGGAATCCAGGGAAAGCCGGAGGGTGGGCATCCAGGGAAAGCAGGAGGGGTGGATGAGGGAGATTTTAGTTGGTTTTGAGAGGAGGAAGCCCCTGGCTGTAGGAGAAAAAGAAAACCAAGAGGAATTTCCTTTCCCTGGCCAAGGGTTTGCTCAGCCCCACCATTCAAACACGCTTTTGGGGTTTTTTTTTCCCCCTTCTGAGGAGCAGGAGGGTTTGCTCAAGGGCTGGTGCCCACGTTGGAGGTGGCAGCAGTGCCAGCAGGCCGGGGTGGGGTCACGCCAGCTCAGAACCTTCACATCAGCCTGAGCTGTGGGCATGGCAACGGTGACACAGCCCAAGGTTTAAAGCAGAATGGGGTTTTTATTGCTCTCTCCCCACAGCAAGGCTCTTAACGCTTCCTCCTCACCCAAACTTCCTTCTTGCCTCCTGGTTGAGTGCCAGGAGAGGGTCACCAGGAGCCACCACGACACCGGTTGGCTTTGCCTGCCCCACGTCCCAACAGGTCCCTGCCCAAGCCAGCCACCACCTCACCCTGCCCACCCCACGGGGATCCTCCTGGGGAAGAAACCTCCTTCTGCTGAGCCCTGAGGTCAGCCAGAGCCTCTGGTTTGTCCCACAGTCCTCGTTGGGGCACAGGGCTGGGGATTGCCTCCTGCAGCCACCCTCTGTGGCATGAGCTGCAGGTTGAGTCGCTTGCCCAGGGCCACCAGGGCCACGGGTGGACACCTGAGCTCTGCTCACCACCAACCACTTAAACCATGGGTTTCTCCTGCCTGCCTCCAGCAGAAATGGGTGGCCAGTGATGTGCTCGTGATCTTTAGGAGGTGCTGGGCTGTGGCACGACAGCACAGGCGAGTGGGCACCCACCCCAGCCCAGAATTTGGTGCCTCAACCCCTTTTCCCTTCCAGACCTCCATGGGCTGTGCCACACTCACCTGTCCTTGGCTCTGCTTTCACTAAAAACTCCCCCCAGCCCCACGGGGAGACCCGAGCTGCTGTTTTGGGGACGTTAGGGACAGCCCTGCCTGCTGGAAAAGGGGCTGTGGGGGCCCTCCCTGTGCCAAGCAGGCTCCCCAAAACCAGACTCACCACCATGCCTCCTTCTGAAGCTCAGGCTCCTCTCCCTGCTGCGGGTCCAGCCGCTGAGGGAGGC